TAGTTAGTGGAACTCTACAGTAAATAATTAAGTTAAAGCAGGAATCCTTCACCAAATATTTCAAATGGATCAGCTTTCTTCTTAAATTGAGGTTCAGCAAAAATAGCAAAACTGTTTCAAATTCCATATCTTAAGAGTGGTGATGCTTTTCAAAAGGGTGCATGAACCTGAATACAACTAATATCCTTTAAGTAACGAGCACTATATTACTTCAGGTGACAGCTATGAACTAGATGTATGATTTACAGTTACAGAAGTGGTTGCGTGCATAGTGTTCATTACAGCAAAAAGAAAACAGGTCAAGCGTATTTATTACTAGCTCTGCGCACAGGGACCAGTGTACGACATTACATCTTAGCAATTTCTAATTCATCCACTGACAATGTGTTTAATTTCATTATGCTAGTAAATCGTGTGAAGCCTTAATGAGAATCAGACAATAACAGCAATTCATTTGGCCTGCTAGTGGAGAGGATTCGAGTCTTGAGATCAGGAGCAGAAAAACACTTCATAAAGCAGGCAAGGAGGAGGCATTTTGACCAGAGAGCATAGACAAGACCACCCTACTTAAATCTGATGCTAGTTGTTAATATTAATCGTATAACTAGGGTGTTCAGGGGTTGTTAATACCATCAAAAAGTTTGGGGAGGTAGCTACCACTACCCTGTTAATTTCAAACATAGCTTTGGCCTTGAGGTTATCCCTTATTCCTGTTACCAGTAGCACCATGCCGAGAACTATCCTTCTATAGTTAAGATGACGATAACCTGGAAAATTAACTCAACCCTTCTCTGCTACACCATCAGGCTTAAAATAACAGGTATAAACACATTTTTCTTGTGGCTCAGTAGGTGATGTTAAACCAATGTCTCTGTTCAACTTTATTGGAAGGCTTAAGGGTTTGGAACAACAATAGTACTGTAATGATAAAAGAAGATTTTATTAAATAAGTGTCATGTAATAAGGATGGTACAAAATATATTTAAAGTATGTCACCAAAACCAAATTTTGCGTTGAAGAACTACCTGTTGAATGGGCAGCTTGGGGGATACAGAAGCAGGTGATGATGGTAATATCAGTAATACTTTGTATGTAGGTAAATATGAAATTGTGTTATATTTCCTTCCTTCCTTCATTCTCTCACTCTCCTAGACAGTTATTTCATACCTTTTCTCTTCAAATTTCCAATGCTTCCGCATTTCAACTTTCAGTTGTTCATCTTGATTTCTATTTCACTGAGAAGACAGAGGCGGTAAGAATAGAACCTCCAGAACTTCCCACCAGCCCATCTCCCCACCAACCCATGTGTCCATGTACTGCCCCTTCTCCACTGTTTCAGTTGAACTGTTTGTTCTCAGAGCAAAGGCCACCCTGCCCTGAGTCTTGTCCCCTCCTGCCTCCTCAGTGGGGACTCTTCAGCAGTTCTCCCCTGGGTATTGTCAGTTTTTCTTGCCCTGCTGGATCTTTGCATCAGTTTACAAACATGCTGCTGTTTTTCCCAACCTAATAATCCCCTTTCTTGACACCACATCCCTTCCACTGTGGAGTAAAACCCAGTAGAAGGATCGTCTGTACTTGCCATCTCCAATTCCTCTTCTCTGTCCTCTGGAACCCACCCCACACTTACCTCATCACTCCCCCGAAACCAGTGGCCTCCGTAATGTCAAATCCTGTCCTTGTGTTACTTGCCTGCTCAGCACAGGACTCAGCCGATTCTCCCTCCCCTTTGAAACACATTCTTCCTTGGCCTTCAGAACACCTCAGGAGGATGGTTCTCTCTTTTCGCCCTTTCATCTCTCTGGTCCTTCCCCCTCACCTCTTCATATTTTCTTCTTTTTTCTCTCTCCTCTTGTTTCCAGCCACTCCATGTCCCCCTCCCCTCAACCCTTGGCTACTATCATTCTACTTTCTATGAATTTGAATTTGACTGTAAGATACCCCATATAAGCGGACTCATGCACTGTTTGTTTTTTGTGACTGGCTTGTTTGTCCTCAGGGTTCATCCATGCTGTGGTACGTGACAGGATCTCCTTCCTTCTTAAGGCTGAATAATATTCGACTGCCTGTATGTATCACATTTTATTTATCCCTTCATCTGCCGATGGACGTTTCCACCTCTTGGCTATTGTGACTAATGCTGCTGAGAACACAGGTGTGCAGATATCTCTTCAGGACCCTGCTTTCAATTCTTTGGGTATATACCCAGAAGTGGAATTGCTGGATCATATGGCAATCCTACTTTAAACTTTTTGGGAAACTACCATACTGTTCTCCATAGTAGCTACACCATATTCATAGTAATGTTTGAGCAAGGGTCCTGTGTTTTTATTTTGCAGTAGAACCCGTGAATTATATAGCTGGTCCTGTCTGGATATTCCCATTCTCCACCTGGTCTAAGCCATCATCTCGTGTCTAGACCATTGTGACAGTCTCCTAACCAGTCTCTGCTTTCATGTAATCTCAACACATCCAGTGATTCCTTGAAACAAAAGATCTCCTCATCCTTCTGCTCAATGTTCTGCCATCTTAGGGCTCCACATGATCCGCCCTTCCCCCATCACCTCTCTGGCCTCGTCTCCCATTTCTCATCTCCTCAGTTACTCCTCTCCAGCCACGCTGACCTCTCTGGTGTCCCTGGAACTTCTCATGCTCATTGTTCTCTCTGCCTAGAAAGAGCTTCCTGCAGATGTCTGCGTGGCTCAGTTTCTTACCTCCGGCAGGTCTTTACTCAAACAACATCTCGGTAAATTCTACACTGACCACTTTAATACCATCCCCATGCCAACACTCTTTTTTTTCTGCTTTACCTGTCTCCATCATACTTATCACCATTGCATTAGTCCGTTTTGTGTTGCTATAACAGAATACCTGAGACTGGGTAACTTATAAAGAACAGGGGTTTATTTGGCTTATGATTCTGGGACAGCTGCATCTGGCACGGGCCTCAGGCTGCTTCTACTCATGGCGGAAAAGTGGGAGGCAGCCAGGGGGTACAAACAGATCACATGGCGAGAGGAAGCAAGAGAGACAGAGAGACAGAGAGACAGAGAGAGAGAGAGAGAGAGAGAGAGAGAGAGAGAGAGAGAGAGAGAGAGGAGGTGCCAGGTCCTTTAAACAATAAGCTCTCACGGGAACTAACAGAGCGAGAACTCACTCATTACTCCCTCCTCCCCCAGGGAGAGCACTAATCCATTCATGAGGGATCTGCCCCCATGACTCAATCAGTTTCCAACACTGCCACATTGGGGATCAAATTTCCACATGAGTTCTGGAGGGGACAACACATCCAAACTCCATCAACCATTTAACACATCTCATGATTTATTTTCTAAATTGTCTCCTCCTACTAGAATATAAGCCTTGTACGGGCAGGGATTTTTGTCTGTTTTGCTTACTATCTCTGCAGAGCCTAGAACTGTGTCTGGCACGTATGCACTCAGTATTTCCTGCATGAGTAGGTGAATGAGATATTCTTAGAGCAGTAATTTTCACCAGCTGGTTGTATTAGAAGTCTAACTGTCAGAATACTAACTGAACTGGAGATAATTTTTGAGATGCTACTGTCTAAATTGTCAGGTTTCAGTCAAAGTCAGTATATTAGTCAGGGTTCTCCAGAGAAACAGAAGCAACAGAATGCATATAAACAGAAAGAGATTTATTATAAGGAATTGGCTCACATGCTTTAAAGGCTGTGAAGTCCTGAGATTGGCATGGAGCTAGTGGTGTAGCTCCAGTCTGAGTCCAAAGACCTCAGACTGGTGGTGTCGTTCCAGTCTGAAGGCCCACAGACTCGTGACCCAGAAAAGCCAACATTTCAGTTTGAGTCCAAAGAAAGAAAAAGCCAATGTCTAGGTTGAAGACAGGCAGAAGGAATTTCCTCTTACTCAGGCTTTTTGTCCCATGCAGGCCTTCAACTGATTGAACGAGGCCCACCCACGTCAGAGAGGGCCATCTGCTTTACTCGGTCCACTGACTCAAGTGTTATCTCATCCAGAAACACCCTCACAGACACATCCAGAATGTCTTAGATGTCATTGACCAAATGGCCAGTCAAGCTGACACATAAAAGTAACCATAACAGTCAGACTTTAAATTCAGAAAAGAAAAGGTTGGGTATAGTAATATCAGTCTATGTTTCTTTAAAGGATTAACAGTAGGCAGGCTACTCAAAACCACAGAGGCCAGTGTTATTTTAGATATTGGGGAACTGATAGCCTTTAAGGGCTATAAATGTTTGACAGAAGGTAAGATTTAATAAACAAAAACAAAACACTTCCTTGCAGCAGTGGAATCATTATTATTTGGATTTCTTCCTGAAACTAACTAGGATTATGTCTTTAGCTCCTCTAGCTTGAAGTTGTTTTATCTTTCCTGAACATGAGGAATGTTTTTCTTTGTCTTTTTTATGGAGACTATTTGGAAGTGGGGAGCTTGTTTATTCCAGGTCAGTGGGCAAAAAGCAGTAGAAAACCCACACTATCTTCACCTTTGGCTTTCACTTACTGTAGCTCTGATCTATAGACTAGTGACCCCTAGAATACTCCCTGTCTTATGCCATAAGTGGCATTCAAAACTATTTACAAACCATGCAGACAAGATAAGATTGTGTATGTCAAATGACTTGCTTTGCCAGAGGTGCTTCTGCACCACGCGAGCAGCCACAGCTGCTGATGAGCTTCTACATGATTCAAAGACACAGAAGCTCTTGACTTCTGAAATTAAACACACACAGACAAACAAACAAACACACCGCAAATCTATATCTCAACCCACTGTCTTCTGTTTCCATAAATCCCAGCTCATGTGACGTCTCTTTATTGTCCTTTAAACTCTTTTATGGCTTTATAGTAGCCTATAAACGGTGATTTCCAAATATGACAAGCATTGAAAGGCTAAAGAGGAGAGTTGTCCAAGAGTTGTAGTCACCACATGTGTAGCTGCTCTCCCAGGAGCTCAGCCTTCCCCAGAAAGGGAGAGGGGCTGCAGGGCTCACGGCTGCCATGGGGCGATACTCTGGACGAAGCTTCCGTTTAATCCTCATGTGTGTCATTAGCTTCCTCCTTTTCGTGATGGAGCTGGTGATCTCCTACGTAGGCAACTCCCTCTCCTTGGCCTCCGATGCTTTTGCCGTCCTTTCCCACTTGGTGTCCATGATCATAGGTTTGCTTGGAGTGAGAGTCAGCAACATCCGAGAGCACAAGAAGAGCACATATGGCTTTCTCCGGGCAGATGTTGTGGGAGCCTTTGGCAACTCCGTGTTTGCTGTGGCCCTGATGTTCAGCATCCTCATTGAAGCCATCAAAAGGTACATGAATCCCCAGCAGACAGAAAACCCACTTCTAGTCCTCAGTGCTGGAATTATCGGTCTGTTCTTCAACGTTGTTAACTATGTCATCTTCTTGGATTGCTGTTACTGTGCAACGCCCAGGACCCAGGGAGACACCGAAACAGGTAAACGGCTCCTCAGATGGTGGCAGTAAATTTGGTGAGAGTGCCGGCAGGTGCTATCTCATGGGGCCTCTGATGGTGCTAGGTAGAGGTCCTATTCACTGGGTGGGCCTCTTGTCCCTGTGACTTTACAATAGGTCATTGTCAGAAGAGTCGCCTTCAGTCTGAAGTTTCTTGTGAGCAGAGTGGCAGCAGGCAACTTTCATGTTGGGGTGTTGTCTTTAATTTTTACTCACAGAGAATGAAAAAGTGCGTTCAGACAGGTGGAAACTCAGGAGCAAAAGCATCAACCTAGCCATAGGGGGAGCAATCTGAAAGAAAGTGGATGTGACATTGAAAACGGTCTCCTTTAAGTGACTCGCTTTTGCTTACCCAGATATGACATGTCTGTGTTTGAATTTTAAAATAATATTTTAATATCTCCATAAAATATGCACAAAGAGCAAAGGATCAGACAATTAGCTAGGCTGATAAAATCTTAGGAATATATTCAAGGAATGTTATATAAAATGGAGAGAAAAAAATAAAGATGATCTAGTAAACTTAGCTCTTTTTTGAATAAAAATATTTGCACTTATCTATTGCATGCATCTGTTCTATTTGAGAAAAAGGAAAACAATTTATATGTGAATCATTAGGAGAGACTTAAGAGTGGGTACCAAACTTACTGTGTCGTCGTCTGTCGCAAGATTGAATTAAAAATCTTGGAAGAGAATAAATGTAAAAGATGCTTCTTTATTAGATGGAATCATATTTCTTTAATTTGTTGCCACAGGAGGAATTAAAAAAAAAAAAATATATATCAAAAGGTTCTTGCAGAAGAGAAATTTCCAGTGCTTCTTTTAGAAGGAGTCCTATAGTGTGAACAGATTCAAGTCAACAAATTCAAATCATGGCTCTAGCACTGGGCAGTAGCCAAGTTACCTTATGCAGCCTGTTTCCCCACCTGTAATATGGAGGAAGTAAGGACTAAATGAATTGCTAAGTGTTTGGAACTTAACAGGCACTTGATAAATACTAACCTTTTAAAAAAATCACAATGCAAGCCTGTGAATGATATGATAATCCATCATTTAATGCTAATTGTCCATTTGGATTTTAAGACATGTCAAGTCTTTGCTTATTCGACACTGATCAGTTTTCTCTCACTAGAAGGGACATTATACAACTGAGTCTGCGGAGACTCAGTCTAAGCTCACATTCTTCATTGTCTTTGCTACCATTATAAATTATGTCAGATGGATCCAGTCCCTTATCCTTTGCCCGTATTAATTTCCCTATTGGTAGAATGTATGTTATGAGAGCACCTATAGTATATGCTAAAGGAACAAAGAAGACTGAGTCTAGATCTTTATCCAATTTAATGAATCTCTTAATCAGGGCCTCATCTTTTGTAAAAGACAATTATTAGTTAACCTGAAACCCTATGCCTTGGGGGTTCATCATGTGAAAATCTTGAGGTTCCAGATCATAAAATTCACGTTTGATATGACAAATAGATATTTTTATTGCTAAGTATAGTTTTTTTTTTTTTTCGTGACCAGTAAGGGGATCGCAACCCTTCCCACACCGCGCTCAGCCAGCGAGCGCACCGGCCATTCCTATATAGGATCTGAACCCGCGGCGGGAGTGTCGCTGCGCTCCCAGCGCCGCACTCTCCCGAGTGCGCCACGGGCTCGGCCCATTTAAGGCAAAGAAGATGATTTCAAATGGTTAGTGTTAACAATGGAAGTGTCACCATTGCTCAGCTTATCATTAGGTTTTCAGTTGTCCCCTAGCGGTTCTAATTTTGCTTTATTCTGACATATATTGTTAAACAGCACATTACAAAAGCAATTAAGGCGAAGGGTCTGACTCTGGCCACCATGAGAACTGGTACACAGTAGTTCTTGTAGTTCTTGTAGTTCTGTTCTGTAAATGGAGTTATTCTGGGATGGATCCCCGTTCATCTCCTGTCTGGGAAGCAGTGCTCTCCAGTGTTTGTGTTCATGCTAAGGTAACAGCAAGAGGCTTAAGACAAATATTGCACCCTGACCATATGGGTCTCTAGTGGCTTAATTCCAGAGCATCTATCTTCCTTTGAAGTGTTTGATGCCACACGGTACTCTGCTTTAAATAAGTATAGTGGCAGGTACTTTACACATATGGCTAATACTTTAAGATCCATGTTCTATTTTACCATTATTATTTTGGTAACTTTTGGTGTTGCTGAATTCTTGTATTAGAAATTTTAGAGTGTTTCAGGGCTGGCCCGTGGCTCACTTGGGAGAGTGTGGTGCTGATAACACCAAGGCCAAGGATTCAGATCCCTATATAGGGATGGCCGGTTAGCTCACTTGGGAGAGTCAAAGGTTAAGATCCCCTTACCGGTCACCTTTTTTTTAAAAAAATAAAGAAATTTTAGAATGTTTAAACTCTCCAAAGAATTTTAGGATAGCTACTTAGCTTATTAGCATTTATGTCTCAAGTTATGTATTTATCACATTTTCTAAACCATACCTTTTGATATCCATCTACCACTTAAATGAGTTTAAAGTAAAAAGTAAATATTTGGGTCAGATGAAGCTCATAAATGAACATTAACCCAATACCAATTGGCTCACATTTCAAGAAGAAATGTGATTAATCCACACATAATGTGATTAATAAATTCATAAATGTGATTAATCCATTCATAACCAGAGGTATAAACTATGAAGGGGAAAAAGATTCTTGACTTCAAAACATGTGACTTAAGTTTAGGAAAAAGAATTTCAACATGTCTAGCTTGGAGCACTTTGAAGTGCCTATAAACTACAGAACTGCTGGTACTTCTGGTTTAGTGATCAGAATTTGATAATCCATCACTTCTTTTGTAGCTAGAGAGAGCTTTTTACTTAATGAGCCCTCAGTCTCTCCTGGTTCTGTGGGTCGTTTACTTGTTTTGCTCTTTCTGGTGTAGGAATGGATACCAGTTAACACTTGATGTTTGAGATTGCAGCAAAGTAAAAAATATTCAAGACCACCAACTTTAAGTTAAATATTAACAAAACAGATTGTATAATACAGTTAAGGCTTTCAACATTCCCATGATTCATGGAATAAGTCATGCTGGAGAATCGGACATAGAGAGCCAAATTTTTCTTTTAAAACCTGGGAGAAAAGAATGTCTAGAAGGTTTAACTGAGATAAGAGAGCCTGGAAGCCTTAGATGAAGATCTAGCTGGTGCGAGGCCATCCCTGACACGAAAAAACATGTGAAGGACTCAAGGGATGGCAGAGCCGGTGTCTTTGGTTGAAGTAAAATGCAAAGTGAAAAAAAGGTAAAAAATGCAACTATGAAGGAAACACACGCAAAATAGGTTTAAAGTCCAAAATGTTGATGGCTCTGTGCGTGAGCGTGTTTGCAGAAGGGTTTGGGGGAGGGGTGAGAACAACACGCAGCTCCGGAGCTGGGAAATACGTGTCACCAACTTGTTTCTTTCTCCAAATTTAGGAACTAAATTTGCTTTGTTTACATTTTTCCTTCTCTTTGTTTAGTTCACTTGATTTTCTTTGACGTTCACATTCTCTTTTATGTTTGAATTCTGTCTTTTATTTTTTTGGGCCTGAGTTTTCTTTAGAATTTCACTCCTAGAACTCTCTATGCCCTTGGCTGTGCTGGAAGAGACATCCTGCGGCACACTGGCCTTTGTTTTAAGCTGAAGGTAATTTTGTGCAGCTCACGTTTCTAGTAAGATCGCTTCTGCTCCATTTTGTACTTTTTTCCGTCTAGGACAGATCAGGCTTGCCATCTATATCATTTATAAATGACAAATTTATATCTGAAATATATGTTTATTAATTTTATTTATTTATTTTAACAAAATGCCTGTCCTTTGAATTTAAGTTAATTTTGTTTTGGTTCCAAACTGTGCTCCGTCGCTGTCTTGCTCTCACGCTCACTCTTGCTCTCATTTCCACCGTTCTGGCATTATGCTCCTCCAGCCAACTCACCAGAGGCCGTGACAGCTCAGCAAACAGCAGTTTGTTGTTGCAGGTTTTAATACCCTGCTGACTGGCTGCTCTTGCAAGCTTCTAGTTAAGATTCAGTACTATAGCCTGATGGCGGCCTTTCACACTGAAAGCAAGTCGAGTTTCCTTTTCTTTGAAAGAAAACTTTATCCAGAGACAAGCAGAGTAGGCAAGGCTCTGAGAGTTTCAGGAGAGGCCAAGGGGAATTTGCTGCTTCGTCCCCAGTAGCAAATACTATGGCGTGAATAAGGTAACAGACGCTGCACAATTGAAAGAGCTTTTCAAACTGGAAAGGGGAAGGTTTGCTAAGAAAGATTGGAAATTTGTGATAATTATTAAATAATTTTAAGAAGCATGATGCTTGATTCCCAGAAGGTGTTACTATGCAGTTTGCTCATATCTGACACTATTTGGTGTTTTCCAAGCACCATCATTGGTTTTGATCAATTAACTTCCATATGAGGTTTCAGTGATAAGAACACATATGCATATCACAGATCACAGCATCTATCCCACTATAGATGCCTAATAAATTCCCTTACATCTCTTTCTGTATGTTCCTGACAACTTGCTTAACTCCTTGCGTTTCTTGTCTTCCAGTGAAGGGGGTCTGGTGTTAGTCACATCAAGTGAATAAGAAAGATTAAAGGAAGATGGAAAAATAGATGCTATTTCTCACTTGTGAAATCACATTAAGTGAAGAAAAAAAGGAGATAAAGGGACCAGCTCCTTGTTCTTAGCCATATTCTTCTAATGTGCAGAGGCTGCTAGGACTGATATCTGAGTTAAATTGTAATGATAAGCGAGTGTTTATTGACATCTCTGAGTTTTCAGGTACTGTTAGGGTATAAAGAGAATAATAGCATCATATCACATACATTTGGAGAATTGTATTTTTGCAAAATAATTAGCTAGAGAAATTACTTGCTATTTCCATTTTTCGGATGAGAAAACAGTGGTTCAGAGACAAATTCACAATCATACAGCTAGTTAGTGGTAGGGTGAAAAGA